TTAGATCTATTAATTGTCGTGTAAAACATCAGGTTTCATTTGCTTTTGCTTCCTACGATAATGACACGGCTCAAGAACTTGAACACGTCTTAGCCTTAGTAAACGCATTATAATAACACGAAGGAGATTGTGGAATTGTAAAAACTCTAAGAAGGGCTCATTAGCTGGCAAAAATATTACGCTTCTACGGTTGTCAATCACTTTAATGATACTGATGAGCATGATAATGTTGTGCACGTATGTTGTAGAATTAGTTTCGTGGCATTTCGGATGGAGTGGGTGGAGTAATGCCGGTGTTCTCCATGTGATCATTGTCATTGCGGTACGTGCATCCCCCACCATATTACTCTTGTAGCAGCAGTGTTTAAACAGCTGCTGCACTTGTGTTTTGTGCTAGTAGTTCTGGGACAAAGAAGGTTTGACAAACTATAGTTTCTTTCAAGATTCCTTTACTTCCGTTAAATGAACAAGGCTGCAGGTAGTATTCCATTTCACCATATTGTCAGTATGCACGAGGTATGTAATTATCTAAGCTCGGGGTAGTTCATATATTAACATTTCTTTTATGATATTCCATTTATTTACAACTTTGACCGGGTGATTTACGTCGCCGACAGCGAGGTACACAGTGATGAGGCCAGAAAGCGCTGTTAACAGCTACGGCTTCGCAAGTCCTTATACAGATGCCTGACGCCCAAAGTCGGGGTTCATCGATACGGCGCTGAAAGACGCTGTTCAGAGTTCTACCACCATATGTCGCTGTACAGTAAAAGCATCGCAGTTCTCTGTACAGAGTAGGGGCGCTGCAACCGCCGTACAGAGTTCCGGCACCTCAAGTCGCTGTACAAAGTTCCTGCACCTCAGGTCGCTGTTCAGAGTTATCATCCCGCAAGTCGTTATGCAAATTTACGGCACCGCAAACCGCTATATAAATTTCCGGCACCGCAAACAGGTATACAGATTTACGGCGCCCCAAGTGAGCGTTCATATACAGTACAAGCAGAAATTATTGAGAATTTAAAGATTGTAAAAAAACAACTTCACTCACTACACACGCATTTAATGTGAATATTAGCAGAACATATAACTCCAGATTCAAAGACAGGTGAACAGTTAGTATTTTGTCAAGTCACCATGGGCAGCAATGCAGGCTTCAATGCGGCGGGGCATACTACTGATCAAAGAAGTTAGAAAGTCGTGGCCATGCTGTCCCAATATCGGACAACCTCTTCTTTCATTTCAGCAATATTTGTCAGATTTTACTTATTGACACTTTCCTTCATAAGTCCCCAAACATTTTCTATTGGATTTAGGTCAGGGCTATAGCTTGGCCAATCTAATAATGTCATATTTTGGGTCCGAAACCAGGCCTGTGAATGCTTTGAACGATGTTTTAAGTCGTTATCCTGCTGGAAAATCCCAAAGTTTCCATACATTGAACACGTGAGCAGATGGAAGTATATGTCCCTCGAGAATATCTGTGTACCGCTCACAGTTCATATTCCCTTCAAATACACAGAGGGGCGTTGCCCTTAACACAGATATGCCACCCCACACGTTAAAATTTCGGACTGTACTTTGGGCGCTGATACAAAGGTTTTTCAGTTTGTTTGGTCCAGAATTTCAGAGTATTAGGGACCAGCCACACAGAACTTTCATCTGAGAAAATCACATTGTCCCGGTTAAAATTTCTATGTTGTAAGGAGGAGTTCAAACTTCGCTCCATTTTTACAGGTTTCATGATCGGTGATGGAATTCCTCGGATTTTCTGCCAACCCATTGCATGCAGCTCAGTTCTAATTGTTTCCTTACAGACAGCCACAGTTCCTCTATCAATCATATCCAGTCTTAAGTTTTCTAAACTCCTTTTTTTGTTTTTAGAAACAAGAATACCAAGCCGCCTCCTGTCACCTACAGTCAATTTTCTGGGCCTACCTGCGCCTCCCTGGTGCTCAATGCCATATCCATTTGCAATATTTTTCAAAACACGATCAACAGTGGACAAAGGGATGCCTGTTCTACTTGAAATCACTTCAGCTGATCTGATGTCCTTGTTATAACACTCTAAAATGAACTTCCTCTTCTCTAAATCATCCATACTGAAGATCACTGAAAATATCGTCTGTTAGTAAGTGAATAGAGGGAGATAACTCTTCACAAACTAGTGAAAAAGGATTAACGGAGCTGTGTCTCTTGAATGAAACCAAGCCCTTGATAGCTGGTCAAGGTTGTCTATACTACAAATCCAATTAAACATATTCCTCAAATTCTCAATAATTTCTAGTCATACTATATATAGTGTTGAAAGTCAGTGTACGGAAAAAACGACACCGCATGTTGGTGTTCAGTGATACAACAATGCCACTCGCTGTTCAGAGTTACGGAACTGTCAATCCCTGTACAGAGTTACAGTCCCGGAAGTGCCTGTACAGTTACAGTCCCGGAAGTATCGGTACAGGTTCAGTCACTGAAGTATCTGTATAGGTACAGTTCCGGAAGTGCCTGTACAGGTACAGTTCCGGGAAGTGCCTGTACAGTTACAGTCCCGGAAGTGCCTGTATAGGTACAGTTCCGGAAGTGCCTGTATAGAGTTACAGTCCGGAAATACCTGTACAGTTACAGTCCCGGAAGTGCCTGTACAGTTACAGTTCCGGAAGTGCCTGTACAGGTACAGTTCCGGAAGTGCATGTACAGTAACAGTCCCGGAAGTACCTGTAAAGTTACAGTTCCGGAAGTGCCTGTACAGTAACAGTCCCGGAAGTATCTGTATAGGTACAGTTCCGGAAGTGCCTGTTCAGAGTTACAACTATAATACCAGATGCCCCTACCCTGGATTCGTATTCCAGATATAATATTTAGCATATCGGAAACATCTTCCATCATACAGGTTCGACATTTAATGATCTGCCCCTACTTTCACCCAGCACATTGATATTATACCATACAAACACAGTTTCTCACACATTTCATCAACCACCACCATCAGAGGTGTTGCTTGTAGCATGATAGAATCACAATCACGGACGGGAAACACGTGACCAAGCCGTGTCCTAATATAGACTGGCGCATTATTCCTGCCAAGCAATCTCAACACGGGCACCCAACTGTGTTCCTTTGCATTGAATTTCGTATATTCGTCTTGGATTAATAACATAAAGGAGGTCATTGAACACCTGACGACTGTCACGAGGTGTTATAAGAGGAGATTTCTGATTGGCTCTAACTCCCCGAGGCAAGGGTATTATTTTCCAATGTCCGAGTCCCATGGGGCGCGAAGCTATCAGTATCACGCAGGATTGCGTTTTGAGTTGGAATGAAAAAGGAGAGATACTACAAATAGCTAACATTATCGTAATTGATTTCGTTGATTTCTATAGACTAGGGTGTGTTGTGAGAAAAAACAAACCACCAGTCGAATTATGAAATACTCGCTATACGTTTCAATACAATGAATCTCATCTCAACTATGTCAACACACAAGTAATATGTGATCGCAGGTACAAAATATCAGTCAGCTGATGTGGGTGCATATATTGTCCCGTGATGACAACCTCCAGATGCAAATGTCCACTTGAAATGCAATGTCATTTTTGGCATACGAAGCATCTCAACCCGTTTGCATTAAATAAATTGAGCTTTTCTTGTGAGTTCCATAATATCATACGGTTGCCGATCGTATTTATAATGGATGCGATGTCTCTTTTGCTGACGTTACTGCACGAAGTCGTCAGATATCGCCAGTAATTGTCAGTGACCTCAGGTGACCTCCAGTAGCATGTGTTTCCAATCAACAGATGGATTCTTCACCTGCACCCTGATCTTAAAAAGATTAACGTCTGATACAAATCTTAAAATGCTAACGTTGCTAAGACGAATTTCTTTTCTTGCATGTTGCTTGGACTAGATGTCCTGACGTATGTATGAGACACACACATTATGGTACACTGGAATACAACGGAAGCTGGGATCCATAGACCTAATCTTGTATCCTCAATATGTCATCTATTGATTTGTATATTAATTCGATTCCACTGATTGTAACGCAATGAGCTGGTTTAGGCCCATGGGCATTAAATCTACGATACTAATCAGTTAAGAGCTCAAAAGCAGCACATTATTCATGAGCTCATGACCCTGTGTCCTGTCTCTCGGTAAAGCAGGTGAACAAATATGTGTACCGTTACAGACGCTGTTAGCAGATGAACATAACGTGGTTACTGAAGTCTACTGATTGAGTAGATCAACAGCTTCTGGTCGGTGTTCTCACCTGAGACCAGATCGATAATACCGAACTAAAAGAACTGTGTGTTATATACTGCCTCATGTATGCTAAAACTACGTATATACGCTGTGGAACAGCCCTCTCGCAAAATATATGTTACCTTGTCTATGGTAACCAGCCCGTGAAGTGTTACCAAGTCTATGGTGACTTACCCGTTACGTATGACCAAGTCTATGGTAACCTACCGTTAAAGTGTTACCAAGTCTATGGTAATCTACCCGTCAGTCGTTACCCGTCATATGGTAACCTACCTGTGAGGAAGTACCCAATCTGTAATAACCTACCCGTGTAACCACGTCAATGGTAACCTAACCGTAAGCTGTTACCCGTCGTGTGGTAACCAACCTGTCAAATGTAACCAAGTCTATATTAGTAACGTACCTGCCAAGTGTTACCAAGTCTATATTAGTAACCTACCCGTCAGTCGTTACCCGTCTTATGGTAACCTACCTGTGAGGTAGTACCCAATCTGTTATAACCTACCCGTGTTACCACGTCTATGGTAACCTAACCGTAAGCTGTTACCCGTCGTGTGGTAACCTACCTGTCAAATGTAACCAAGTCTATATTAGTAACTTACCCGTCAGTCGTTACCCGTCGTGTGGTAACCTACCTGTCAAATGTTACTAAATCTATATTAGTAACGTACCTGCCAAGTGTTACCAAGTCTTTATTAGTAACCTACCCGTCAGTCGTTACCCGTCGTGTGGTAACCTACCTGTGAGGTGTGAGCCGGTCTTGGTGCTGGACCACAGGCAGGCTGCGATGCTGACGTAAGTATACGCCATGATGACGACCGGCACCAGATAGAAGGTGACGAAAATAAATATGTCGTAGTTGAGAGCAAGGGTGTTCATGGATTTATCCGGTGTACACGACGTCAACAGCAACGTCAGATTCTGCGGAATCATCTCATCCGGCGTCTCTTTGAACAGCAGCAGTCGCGGAACCGCCAACGTATGAGCCAGCATCCAAATGACGACGATGGAAATGACCACACGACGTTTCGTCTCCTTGAACGTCAGAGGGTGGCAGATGGCGAACCAGCGTTCAATGGAGATCGCCGTCAACGTCAGGACAGACACGATGATCGTCACCGTCTGGAACAAGCATAATCTACATATTACCTTTACTGTGTTGGTAAAAATAAAACTTGCATAACGAATAGCCTTTGTTTGACACAAATCCAGTTATGTATGATTACCTATTTGTAACTCTTTACGGTTATAATTATGTATCCTGAAATTGCACCAAATGGACAAGAAGAGTAGAATGTGTATTGTACGTGGTGACAAAATCGATTTTGAGGTCAGATATTTGACGTCATGGTATTCCGAAAGTTTGGGGCGTTACACGTTATATCAATCACCTGTTCTCATCAGTGCTCCACTGTTTACACACTCCATCATATAAATAGAATATAGCAGTGTTAAACAGAAAAAACAAAACAACTGGTTCCATAAGCCGCATTCTATACAACAAATTAAGTGATTGGATTTTGCTGCCCACATTTTTCGACGACTCATAATACTGGCCGATTTAAGTGTGTTGTAGGATGTCATGCCGGGTTGGGGAATCGATCAAGGGTGTGCGCCATGATGAGCGAGAGCAGTAACTACCGGACCACCCTACCGCCAGTGTACCAGCAGGGAGTATGTCGTGTATGTGTGTTTAATGTGAAATATTCTGATGTCAAAGCAGAGAAGAGGAGGTTATCGGTTGTTTCACATCCACATAAATGGCAAAGCTTAAAAAACGAAAATGTGTTTTGAACATTACAGACAATTTGATATCAGTGTAACTATATATTGAGGTCTCTTGAGATTATCAAAGTAATAATCCTAAACACGGTGACGAGAAACACGGTAGAAAATCCATAAAAGGACAAAGTTGTGAATTATAGAGAAAAATCGAAACCCGCATCGCGTGTAATGGTTGCTAAATGTTCACTGCAATCTGACACACAGCACAACGACTCATCACGGGGGGTGGTTTAATATCGCAAACAAAGAAACCCAACATTAAAGTATTATTATAATCACTGATGGAAACTACAGGAAGAACGTGTAGTCAAATGTTGCTGACTTGTGTCTAAACCTACCACAAGGACAAAGCTTCCCTCACTAAACGTACTCTCTCATGTTACTAACAGGCTGGATCTATCAGAAATGTGACGATAAAAACCTAAGCACAGCAAATTAATAAGACTGACTGAGACAGGGTTTCAACAGATCCACAGAATATACCTGGAGTGGACACGATCACAAAGGTCACCAAAGTGATATTTCAGTGGGATCCTAAATAAGTTATTCCAGGTTGTAAAGCGTCACAAACATATATGTGACATCACAATGTGTGACTTGTGTGTGATAAACGTGACATGTGAATTGGAGTTGCTGATGTGTGAGAACACCGCGTTCTGGGACGCTCGCCTAAGAGATCAAAGGCGCCGACAGTGTTTATACTGCGATAAAATACATTACACTTTTTTCAGCACTGCATAATGGACTCAGGGAGATGTTGAAATTACCTCCCCCGTAACCTGATTTATCTTTGGTAACATTGTTGTATTGATGGTCAGTCGCGAAGGCACAACAAGAACATTTAGCAACAAGAACATTTAGCAACAGGTAAAACGGTTTTCTTAATACCAGTCGAATGATTTATGAATATTTACAGAGAAGCAATATGTCAAAACGATGTAAACCGTCTCTGTTGCAGTGCTGTTATCACAAACACATTTAAAGCACCGTGTCCTTATCACAGGACCCACAAAGACGGGAGTAGTCTCACGGCACCTGAACCACATTATTTTCCCTACTGCCTAGCCCTCTACAGTGCTAAAGCCCTAAATGAAGCAAGTCTAGATTTTCTCAAGTTCACTTGGGCTCCTTTTCAATTTAAAAGGAATTGATTGTTTCTGTTAAACTTATAATATATTCAGAGACTAAGCGTTATTCGGGGCGAGAGCTGGTGCCTGGAAATAATATCTAAGTCTGGGTGAAACTGAAACCCGCCAACTTCCACAATCACTTGCCAACCTGCTTCACAGGGCATACAGCATTGCACTCCAGTCACACGAAACGACCAGTGGTGCGCTTCTTCGCCATGTTCGTCCCACGGGGCAGCCACTTCACGCCCTAAGTCGTCGATTCACGTCGGATACATTTACAACCAAAGCCATAATGGCATCAAGTTGTTGCTATCTCCCCAATATTATAACATTTACGACAGAAGTGCCTCAACTCACAGCCACCAGTGACATCAGCTATCTTTGTGTCTGTGTGGGGAATGCCTCGAGTCTCGTGATTAAACAGACTACATGGAAGAAAATTAATATACAAAACATAAATAGGAATCATACGTTTCGATGTAATTAAGGGTCATGCACTGAAGAGAATATTATCCATAACCTATCATTTTAGTGGTGATAAGTTGTGAAGGTACTTTTTCGTTTCACGTAAGGTCGGAAACAATGGTGGTGGAATAATAATGTCTATTTATATTGCGCAGGGTTCCATCCACAGAGGTGCATGCTCAAGGCGCTACAATAGTCACAGATGAGAAGTTCACTGGAGGAGATAGTTCGTGGGGATAGAACTTTCTAAAGAGAAAGGTTTTTAGGTTGGTTTTGAATGTCTCAAGGGTGGGGGATTCTTTAATGTTCCTAGGTAGTGGGTTCCATAACTGAGGTGCTGCTACTTGAAACGATCTGTTGCCGTAGGATTTTAGTCTTGAGTATGGTACTGCAAGTAGGTTTTGGTTTTCAGACCTTAGACGTCGTGAAGGACTGGTGAGATCAGTTCTGATAGATAGCTCGGTGCTGTACCGTTCAAACAGTGGTAGGCAAAACACAAGATCTTGGAACAGCCCGAAAGTAAGCTCGCGTTCTTGGATATCAATTTACAGCAGCTCTGTTACATATTTTATATGTAACTAATCTGTAATTAAACCCAGCATAAGTCTCAGATTCGGCATCTTACAAAATATAAAAGTTTGTTCCATATCCAGTGGGGAAAAATATCCCTTAGTCCTGAAACATTAAAACACGAAAGCCCTGCCACGCATGCATCCTCTTGCTTTACCTTAACAGGCCAAGGCCACACTGTACGTTATTACTACACACGTGGGAGAAGAACAAATTATATTTCTTAAACTATCACCATTGTTACAATATATCGTGGCGTTACCGTTACTCAATGGCTGTAGTATGAGTATGAGGTTTTTACACTGTAAACTTGACGTCTTCCGAGGATTCGTAATGGAAAGACATAAAAAGACAAAAGGAAAACGTGTTCTGTTTCTTTCCTATATCACATAAATAAGATGTTCCTGGAAACCGCAGTCGCAGTGTAAAAGCAAAAAAACATACTTAACTTTGGCTATGCGTATACTGAATACAGCTATAACATACTGTGTACAGCTGACATGCCGTGTATAACTGTCACACCGTGTTATAACTGATATATATGTCGGGTAAAACTGGCATAAGATATGAAACAATACCACCATGCCCCCTATCACAACCAGATCTACGCCTCTCGTACATTGTGTAAAGGACGTGCAGTCTTTGAAGATGAGGTATCTTTAATTCCTGATTGGCATTCTATACAACAGTCTCTTTCATTCCTAGGATTGAAATGTCATACGAAAATGCTGTTTAATTCGTGACTGGCAAAATATGAATACGTCGTCTCCTCAGTCTGTGAAGAGGCATCTCTGTCATTCTTCTGGGTTAACTCCCCTTCCTAACGTACGTCTATAACCTAGGTTTGCACAAGGTTGGTTAAATTCAGATCTAAGGATTACTTATCGCTTCTTCATATACTATCATGGCTTGCTTGTGCCATAAGAAAGATAACGTCTATTAATTTGTTATAGGATACACTGTGGACAAAGAAATATAGGCCTCTATTCTATCACACCAGTTCCATCCTTCTGACAAGGAGAAAATCCCTCGAGGCGTTAAGCCAAAGCTAATGAAGCCTGGTGTCCGCTGAGAAGGAATTACTAGTTGTTTTAGTATCCATGAAGGACCCCATCTCGCCGCCAATAGTGCGCTCAGTCATCCGTTCTGACAAAGCAGCGAGTAGTAAGTCAGTCTTGTAACGAAGTTAATTATACGCCCGAACCTCGTCACCAGAAAAATGCGTTAGTTTACGACTGCCTATCTGAAGACACTACCTAACGTTCCGAGACAAGGGAGCTAAGTAACTCAACATCCTTAATTGACCGTTCACTGGACACTAATCCACCTTACACCACCAAGTTAGAGGCATTCGATAATACAAGTGCTAACAGGTTCATTGTAGACGTGTGGTGGGTGTAACTACAACTTGAGTATAGCAGGGACCGTTAAACGCCAAACTATGTACAACAGAAATAGGGCTAAACTTCGAGTGGCGTCATGATGGAGAACGCCCGCCTTCCCATAACTCAGCAACGGCAACCTTCACGTAGCACAACAACGGCAACCTTAGCACAGCCCAACAACGGCAACCTTCACGTAGCACAACAACGTCAACCTTCACATAGCACAACAACGGCAACCTTAGCATAGCACAACAACGGCAACCTTCCCATAGCACACCAACGGCAACCTTCCCATAGCACACCAACGTCAACCTTCACATAGCACAACAATGTCAACCTTCACATAGCACAACAACGGCAACCTTAGCACAGCACAACAACTTCAACCTGAGCACAGTACAACGCCAACCTTCACATAGCACAACAACGGAACCTTCACATAGCACAACAACGGCAACCTTCACATAGCACAACAACGGCAACCTTAGCACAACAGAACAACAGTAACCTTAACACAGCAGAACAACAGTAACCTTAGCACAGCACAACGACGTCAACCTTCACCCAACAGGGATGTTGCCAGACCCTGTTCAGTGTAACTAACACCAAATGAAGTAAACCGGAAGTCTTTGTGCGGCATGAATAACGCCAGAAAATGTACATATAATGTATTACAACAATAATAACGCCACATAATGTACATATAATGTATTACAACAATAATAACACCAAGATGCTACAACAGAAATACCTTCCGCATTCTTAGTATATACACCGCTAGCCTTTG